TGAACCGCTGACCTGCTGATCTAGCAGTAGCCTGCAGTGCTGCTTTTAACCACTGCGCCACCTTGGCTCTTATTTGACCAGATTTGATTACACCCCTTCCCCCACCACTTGGGGCTCTAATCCTAGGTTCTAATTTTTTTATATAGTTTAACATTTTTATTGGGTTATAAAATATTATAAGATACAAAATACAAAAGTAAATAGGAAAGCAGTGGGGAGGAAGAAGGGGAAGAGAAGCGAGGAAGGATAAGGGGGGGTGGAGAAGCATTGACTGCCCACTCTCTCTGTTGTAGTAAAATGAGGCATGAACATCAAATCACTTCTTTTTTTCATAATAATATGAACAAGCCATTTCTATAAAGATTTATCAATCTACTCGTTAAAACCCTAAATCAGTGTTTCTCAACCTTGGCGACTTTAAGTCCTGTGGACTTCAACTCCCAGAATCCCCCAGCCAGCATAGCATAGCTGGCTGGGGGGATTCTGGGAGTTGAAGTCCACAGGACTTAAAGTCGCCAAGGTTGAGAAACACTGCCCTAAATCAAAGTTTCATTTTTTTTCCACTTCAAACACGAAGTCCAGAAGTGGAAAAGTTGAACTTTTGGGTTCTGGCACACATGCGCACCTAACAATCAGCTGGCCATAATCTATGCACAGGCTGGTTTTTACCACTGCCACATGCACAAAGGACAGTTGATAGTTGCGCACGCATGTGCACCAGAAACCCAGAAGACAAACAGGCAAGGCCGCGTGTGCCGGGCGACATATTTCATGTACCCCTCTGGGCACACGTGGCATTGGTATATCATGGATATGCAGTAACACAGTTCCAATTTTTTTTCTCCAGTTCTTTTTCCATTAGGCCCGAAAGGGGGGAAAAATGGTTTCATTTTTATCTCCATTTTCAAAATAGTCTGTATTAAAATATAAATCATACTCAAAAAATTTTTTTTGCTTTATCAGAAGTGCACCATAGATTTTTTTAAAAAATCCCTTCTTTACTTTTGCACTTCCAACATTCATTTGACACACCTTTATACATCTTAGATTACTTATCTGGTATTAAATACCAACGATACATCATCATATAAAAATTTTCTTTTAGGTTATAATTTAATGTAAATTTTACATTAAATTACATCCGCCTCTTTTCCCATAGTTCAAGCATCACATTGTATCCAAAATTCCTTGCCCACTGAATCATACAATGTTTTTACATGTTCATTTTCCAAATTCAATCTCAATAACCTGGCTTCTAATTTTAAAAGAGAAGTAACATTTCTGGAACCAGTAACAGATAAATAATGTAATTAATGCTTTGCTGTTACTTGTATGGCTGGCTGGCTAGCTGGCTGGGGAATTCTGGGAGTTGAAGCCCACAAGTTTTAAAGTTGCTGCGGTTAGACACCTCTGAACATAGAATGTCTTCACGATTCACTTATTAAGATGGCTTTTCTTTTTCTTTGCTTCTTTCCCAGGCATGGGATGTTTCTGGGGAGCAGAAAGAATGTTTTGGAAACTATCGGGGGTCTTCTCCACACAGGTGGGATTCTCAGGAGGCTTCACTCCCAATCCTACCTACAAAGAAGTCTGCAGTGGTAAGTCTTCTTGAGCAGAATTCTGGGTGGAATCTCTTTTCTCCATGAAAGAGATCGGAGGGCTTGTACATAGGAGACTCACGGTCTTTACTTTCTCCCCAACTGAAACAAAGACAATAAGTTGACACTCACTTCCCTTGATTTTCTGGTTGTCATCTTCACGCTAGTGTGGTTGTGTGACGCTGCATGCTTCACCCAGACAGTTTCAAACCAGGCTTGTGCAGAACCTTGGATTCAGTTGCAAAAAAAATATGCTGCTGAGCTTGTAGGAGGGCATCACCCACTACCCAGGTTGTTGGGGGGCAATATGCTGACTCTGTAAACTGCTTAGAGATAGCAGTAAAGCACTGTGAAGCGGTATATAAGTCTAAAAAGAGCCGAGGTGGCGCAGTGGTTTGAAACTGTCTGGGTGAAGCATGCAGCGTCACACAACCACACTAGCGTGAAGATGACAACCAGAAAATCAAGGGAAGTGAGTGTCAACTTA